ATAATTCATTTTTTCAATAAATATATTTTAATTATGACAGTTAAATAGTTTATAGAAAGAAATATGGAGTACAAAAAAAAAATTGATGTTACATTAAAAAGTAACCACGTTGTTAATTTTTATAAAAAAAATTGTTTATTAAGATTGTAGTTATCATAAAATGAAGAGAATATTATATTGAAGGAAGAAAAAAAAGAGTTGGTAATAAATGAATGATATGGTCAACGCGGAGGCAAAAGGGGTGGGTGCGGGAAAAGGACAAAGTAGGGACAGAGCACTGAAATGGGATAAATTAGGTGCTTTGGGTTTGGGGAATGACAAAACAAGAAAAGTACCTTTCTCTGTAACAAAGTAAGTACCAACAACACAGTCTCACTCTCACCCAATCACACACACCCCTATTATTATCCAATATCTCATCTTTTCTCTCTCTCTCTCCCACACAACATTTAAAGTAATAAATAAATTAACCCTTCTTTAGTTTCTTTTCATATTTTCTCATTTTTTAAGTTTAAATAAAATGCATTAACAGATTGTTGTCATTTTTACTATTTTTTATTCTTAAGAAATTACACTCAATAATAGAGTTTACAATAACTTATGTAAACTTGTTAAACCATACTTAATTCTTAATATATGTTAATGAAAAAGAAAGCCCTCCATGTGCATGTAGTGTTTTTTTTTTATATTTTTTTTTATAATGCATACAGAATAGTCAAATAATATGTAGTAGTTATTATTATTTATTAACAATTCCAAGAATGAATTTTTTTATGCAAAATAACTTTTTTTTTTTAAATTTTTATTAACTATTATGTCGTCCATTTAGAAAATATTAAAATTGTCAAGAATAATGTTTATACTGAAATAGATTATCATTTTTATACAATATAGTGAGAGAAAAAATTATGTTTGTGTATTTTTTAAAAAATAAAAAAATAAATAAAAGTGAATAATTAATAATAAGAGAATTTAATTAGTTTTTCTTTTTGATAATTTTAATGTTACTGAGAAAAAAGTTATTAAAAATGAGTAATTTTAATTGAGAAAAAGTTATTAAAAGTATTATTTTACTAATTTGATATTATTGTGCGAATAGATCTAGTATTTATATGAGTTAAAGTTTAATGACACAAACTCACATAGGAAAGTGTAATATATTTTTTATCCAGTATTCCACATACTTGTATAATACATGAAAATATCTTTTATATACAATGTTCCATGGGATTGTATAATACATGAAAATATCAAAATAATCAAACATAACTGTTTTATCATTGATCAACACATAACACAATTATTGTATAATACATGAAAATATCAAAATAATCAAACATAACTGTTTTATCATTGATCAACACATAACACAATTTAATATGTGAACATACAGAATAAGTATCATAACTTTGATTGGTATAAACGGTAGTAAACTCTAAACTCTAAAACATGGATGACATTTCTTAACTAAAGTATAAAAATTTGTTTTCTTTTAATAGGAAGATAAGTAGTTTGAAAAGCATTAATTAATGAATAATTTCAAATTTATCTATAATTTTTTTTTTAAATTCCTTCTTCTTTTATATGATAAGTATAAGATGTATTTTGTGTTTTCAAACATGAAATACATTTTTTTATTTAATAATTTCTTTATAAGATAGTAAAAGAATTAGTAAGAGAATATAATAATACTTTTGATTTATTGTTAAAGTTAATTATTGAAGGAAAAAACAATGTCTTTAATTTTAGAACTTCAACAAGGAGTTGAAACAGTAAAGTGATGTAAAACAAGCTTAACTAGTTCAGAAATCGCATAGGAGTATAAAAAATTTATTTATAAGTCTCTTATCCTAAATCAACAAGTGAATAGATTTATAAACTCTTATTAATAAAAAAAAAATTAAAAAAAAATTATGGCCATAAATAAATGTACCATGTTACTGTCAAAACAAATTAACATATATTTTCTAACAAATATTTAGTTTATTTACCAATTTATTAATTTAATTGTGCAAACCTCAAGTCATAATAAGCTTATTCCTGTGTGAATTTTATCATAAACATACTAAATCTCAGAATTTACTTTTTAAAATTAATCATTTCTTAGAACTAAAGGAATCTAAAGATTTTCTAATGTAAAATAAATTGATTCAGACACCAAAAGTAATTCACCTTAATTTAATACTAAAAAAGATGTGACAACATAATTTTAAACAAAAAATTATTAGTACATATATTTCTGTATCTTCCCTTTACATTGTTCTTCTGAGAGAGAATTCTCTTTATCTTAAAAGATAAAAGTACAAAGGAAAAAAAATGTAGAAATGTATGCACAGAAAATTTAAAATGTCAAAAAAAAAAAATCTTAAACCTGATAACAAGTCAGTGTGGTCTTTTTTCTCCTTGGAACATATCTCTTTTCAATATAAAAAAAAAATTGCACACTCATATATATATATATATATATATATATATATATGTATATAAAGGTATAATTAAATTTTATTTTTTGTTATTTATAATATTTTTTCTTAATACTAAGTAATATTTTTTACAATAATTGAGTCATTTGTTAATTAACACCTGTCAAAAGAAAATATAGCAAAATTGTGGTGACGACACAATTTAAATCAATAATTGGAGTAAAATATAATAATACAATTGTTTTGCTTATTTTTGTATTCAATAGAGTGTCTCTTGTCACTTTCATGTGTCTATTACTATTCTCATCTAACTTTTTTTAATCTAAAATATTCCTTTTGTTTTCCTCTACCAATCAAACTAATAAATTAAAAAACACATATAAATAATTAAACATAAATGATAATAGACACATTATACAAACACTATGCACTTCCTGTGAACAATTCTGTTTGGCATCTTGTCTTCTTTACTCTTCTTTGTCTCCATCATGTGAACCAATGAAAACCACACAACGTTTCCTTTATTTTATTTTTCTTTCTATTTATTTGAATTAAAGAGAGAAAAGTAAAAGAACAAAAGATGGCCATTTTCAGTCATCCAAATGACTTTTCTTATAATACTGCCACAGGTACACAAGCATGCTTTTGTTTTAGTTTTTCTGCCTTAACACTTCAAAAGCCTCAATTCAATTGTCTTGTTTTATCCTCTCTGCACATTGCTGTACAGAGAAAATTAGTTGCACAACTTAGATTTTTTTATTTTATATGTTCATATTGTGTAACTTTTGTGTGTATGCACACATTAAGGATATTTTTAGATATAATATTTGGATAAACTTTTCAAAAGTAATTATACGAAAAGAAAAATAAATAAATAAATTTTACTTTTTTATAAACTAAAATTAACTTATATATAAGTTATGATATATTTTTTTGTAGAAGTTAATATATTTTTTTTCATAAATTAACTTATAGATAAATTAATTTAATTTATAAAAATAAATATTTTATTTTTCTTTCATTTTTTTCTCCTATAAGTGTTTATGAAAAATTTAACAAAACATACTCTAACAATTAGAAACTTATCATTTTTTAGATGTAGAAATCACTAAAATATATATATATTTTTTATATTAAGATATTCACTTCAAAGAAAGAGACAAATCTAAATAGAAAAAAATTAATAATTATTATATTTTTTTAATTCTATGTAAATTAATCCTCAATTATCAACTTTGAAATATCTCGTGAATCATGTTTATGGACAAAAACACATACTTTATCTTCCAATAATTTGTCAAACTTTGTTTTAGGTTATTGCTTACCTAATGTTATCAATTTACAATCTTCCATATTTCTTTTAAGTTTATATAAGCTACTTGTCAATTAGTATCGAGAGGTTTTGAAAAAGAAAATATACTAATCTAATTTTTTTTTAGTAATTAATAAATTCTTCTAATTATTAATTTATCTTTTAAATAATTCTTATTTATTTAGTGTATGTTTGATTTATTATTATATTAGCACGCATTCAAAGTCCTTTGAATGAAAAAACATGTAAGAGTATGAATTGAAATCAGTGTTACAAATATCCAAATACAACATTAATGACACATTGTCAAACATTATCTAGGGGAAGGTGAATAAATTTACTGGGGTTTAATTTGAAGACAAAGTGTCTAATAAATTAATTTAATGACAGAATAGCCTCTGGATAGTACCATCTAACTGTTTACAAATGTTAAAGGACAAATACAAGCTCCAATAATAAACAATCATCTTAAGTTGAAATGTGAATTTATTAGTAAAAATTATTCTCTCTCGCATACAGAGCAGTTTTTGCCTAAATTATTAGTATTATAGTACTTATTCAACAACCAAAGTGAAACAAAGTTAACAATCAATTCATGTATCACACTGCAGGGAGCATTCTTCTCAGATTAACTCAGAGGGAGAGGTACATTGCACTGCCGCATAGGCCAATAATTTACTCATGTGGGTACCTCAAGCTGTGATAAGCCTCAGATTCCAACATTGGTGACAGACAAGTTTCATCATTTTTAACCTCCACCTACCAATGACTAACACCTCAAGGATCATAGAATAATAGGGATTGCAATATAATGGAAAAAAATTGACAAAATTTAAGTTCATTACAATTAGAACTTTATCTCGATAATATGTATTAATATATATTACTCAAGTCTGTATTAACATACTTATACATATAACTGAGACTAAATTCTACCACTTACTGAGGAATGACACTATCTGTACCTATGATACCCAAGTTTCTCCATAAAATTATACATATTTAATTAACATCATGTATTTCCTTGATAATTCAAAATAGTTTGTAGAAAGTCTTAAATTACACTATAAATGAGCTGTAACTTAGGACAACATGACAATATATATACATAACAAAGGAACAAATCTAATACTATAATGTAAATTTACCAAAAAATATATATGCAGGTAAAAGCCTGATTAGATGAAGGACCAACTCATGCAAGTTGCAACATAGAACTCAGTGACTCGGTGTAACCATAAAATCAAAATAAAAAGGCTAGAAAGTGAAAGAGTAGTGAATTGAAGGAACACTGGTATATATCTCGAGTTCTATAAAGAGATAATGAGAAGAAATCATGCAACATTATTTAAGAATAATACAAGTTGGTACCACCCCAAAGACTGACAATCAAGCATATACCCGAATACGGGTTGAAGAAATTTACAAGAGAAATCCCCATGCCTGAGAACATCCATTGATATGGAAACTGGTCTGCTTACCTCTATAAATTATCATCTAAAAATTTTAAGCCTCTTATGGCAATTAGGTTAACTGGATCAATGGAGGGTTGCCGGCGGGGCACCTCTGTCGACGGGGCCTTCTGGTTGTCTTGCCCCAACCAGTCAAGCTTCTATCCTCCAATCCAACTTCAATGTTATTAAGCTGCTGCATCAGCGGGGCGCTAGGTTCATTGGTTGCCACTGGTGTCGGGGGAGAGGGAGTAACCTGCACCCGTCGCCTTCCCCTGCCACCGCCATTCCTAGACGAGCTTCTCCTAGTTAATCCTGATTGCCATGAATAACCTGTTGCTCTCATAAGCCCTCCAAATGTCTGAAGATCTTCTGTTACTTCATGCCTTGATAAAGATGCAAGGCCTGGAAGGATGTCCCTTTGGAAGTCCCTTCTCTGCCTCCCTCTCCTTGCTGGCCCTTTTCTTGTTCGAGTTGGTAACAATGTAGTTGTTTCTTCTGCTTTGAAGTTTTCCGGAACAAGAGGCTTCGGCATGTAGTCTTCTTCCTTGGTCTCCGGCATTTGTAATATCATTGCCTCAAAGTAATCCATTCCTTCGGAGGAACGCTCCTCGTTACTCACGTCATCTTTTTCCCTTGAAACATCACACTTGCCCTCTAGATTATCTTTGCAAGAGGAAACTACGTCGGCCAACCAACTTAGCATGTCCATCTTTGGATTTTCTGATGGACTATTGCCGATCACACCATCTACTAGATCACAAGGAAGAGATGACAGGACAACAATGGCCTGTGCTGCATTTGTCATAAGTTCATCATCCTTTGGATGTTCAACTGTGTCCTGTGGGACTTGTGGTGATGCTAGAGAAGTTTCAAGCTGCCTTTCTTCTGGAACAGCTTCCTCCTCTATCTCGGGAACAGCAGGAGCTTCCAAATCAATTTCTGTCTTCTTTTTTGCATTGTCACTTGGAATAGTTGTGAAGGATCCTTCATCCTCACTCATGCTCAAGTTTAGATCAATTTGATTTCTAGAGTCTGCTTCTGTCGTAGGAGATCTCGTCTTACTAACAGCAGTTTCAGTGAATGCATCTTTGTCCAACTCAACAGCAGCAGCATCACAAGGCAAGTTAATATCAAGTATCCGAATTTTCTTATTTCCCACTGCTTCTACGTCAGATGGATTAGGATTTGACACTGAAGAAGTGATTGAAGACAACTCCTTTTTAGGAGAAATATGAGGCATATCAAATATGGGAACACCAAGAATTTTCTTATTACTAGAGCTCTCATTGTGCATTAATTTTCCACTTGGTCCCTTTCCGGCTTCATCTTTGTTGGACAATGAGGCAGCATTGAATAAACTTGACTCCCCTCCAGCAGTATTTGGTGCTTCATTCTTACAAGTTGTCTTCCCTCTAAGCCAAGGCAACACTGCGTGACACTCCTCGTTCTTTTGTTCTCCATTCATTGTCCCAAAACCTGAACCATTTGGAAGCAGCGCATTCAAGTCAATATCTTTTCCAGACTTCATGTCATTGCAATTTGAATTTGAACCCTTGCAGGATTTTGATGAACCATTGTTGATGAAATGGTCAGGAATTATCTTACAATCATTATTATGATTGAGATGGTCATAGCTAATAGAAGAGATGTTCATTGATGGTTCCTTGGACCCAGATGAAGACCCAGGGTAAAACCCGTTCTGTATAGTGACATCACATCGATAACCTGGGTTAGGCTTGGAATTGATATTTAGAGGCCAACTATCTTCCAATATCCCATTACTTTGATGTGAGTGAGAACTCCTACTCAAAGCACCAGATGCATTTAGACATGGAGATGTCTGAATTGACATCAACTTCTGGCTTAGGCTGCTAGTTGCCATTTCCCAAGAAGAAGCCGAATGAGACCAAGACTTGGATAAATCAGAGGAAGGAGCAGCAGCAAAAAGACCAGGTCTATGTAAGGGTAACACAGACTCGGGATGCTTATTGATGGAGTAATCATGATTCCTTTCACTGATATGTAAATCACTAACTGTCTTTTCCCTCCATGTGTCGGCCTTGTTTCGACCATTTAGATAATCGGATGCAGGTTCACGAACTTTGCTAAGTGCATCTTGTATTGTTTGGGAAGATAAAGGTGATTTCTCCAGTTTGAGGACTTGTGAAACACTGTTGCTTTTAGCTTGCCCTGTCAACATTAGCAACACGATTCTCCTTTAACAATTTTAGTCCAAGTCAATATCAATACTTGATTGTTGACTGATAATAGGAAAAATAAGTGAACTCCAAAAGATTAAAGAAGTAAAAGATACACAAATAATAAAATAAATAGTTTATTAACACGAAACAAGAAGGTAACAGAGTTGTGGTAGTTCATTAACTCTAACAAGTAACAAGCATTAACAAAAGCCAAGCTCTTTAGTAGTTCCTGCCATAAGCTTATTATATAAAAGTTATAAGACAGGCAAACCTTAATAAATATCAGCTTTTTCTTAAATAATAATCTTGTTACCATTTTCTTCAGTTATTAGACAATCAGTTGCAAAATTCAATATATCAAAGCACTTAGATTAAAGATTTTGTTTGGAGTGGAGGGAAGAGGATGAAGTCAGAAGAAAAAAGTCAAGCAACCAAATAAGTCTAACCTGCCTCGACCACTGATGGATACCACCCTTTTCCACTCCCATTGTTCTCCAAATATCCATTATTTCGAGTCCAACTGTCTGTTACATGATGTGAGTTGAGCAATTGTTCCCTAGACAAACCAAAAATCTGTGAATTTGGTTTGGCAGTGGCAGAGAGATCAGAGCATTCCGTTGCCCCTTGACAGTGATTATGGCTAGAAAGTTGAACATAAGGAGAATTGTATGTTTCTTCCACCTGAACAGGTTCATTTAAGTCAGCCAAACCATTTATTCTCCTAAAAGATTGCTCAGATCTTGAAGTGTCCTCCTGGCTGCCAGCCTTCCCACCATTGCCGCAAAAAAGTTTCACATCACCCTCCTTTCCAGTTTTACAGTTTCCATCAGGAAGAAAGAATGATCGATCACTTATCTTTTCATCACTGAGCTTTTCACTTTCCTCAGGATCAATGTACTCATCAGCAGGGAGCTGAAGGTCAAACATTTTCCTCCTCACCTTTGAGGGCCGGGACTCGAGCACCTCAACATCTTTTGAACTACTACACCCATTTGGGGATGGAAATGGACTAGTTTGTTTGCTGACCCCTTTCATAGAACCCAATGGAGAATGAATGCCCTCAACTCCGGACACAGATGTTTTAGCACAAGTAGAATTTCCCACAGGAAAGCCAGAAATATGCCATTTTTGTCTGTCTTCAGCTGTTACTTGAGATGTCAAGGGATCTGTGGAAAATGATGCCTCAACCTGTATCTGGTTCCTGTGTAAATCTTTCCTTTTAAACTCGTTCATCAAATCCCTTTGTATTCTGTACAGACGGTGAAGTTCACAGACCTGTTTGAAAATACATAGTTTAAATATATCAATAGGTTCACCAATCATGGTGTACAAAAAGAAATTAAACCTAACAAAACTATCACTTGAACCATATTAAAAGAAAACTGCACATCTAAAGCTGAGTTAACTTAATCAAGCAAATAATAATGAAGATAGTTACTACTTACTAAAATTTCACCTGCCACCAAAGCAATTGAAAAATAACACATTTTAAGACAAGGATATCTAGAATTAAGATGCACAAAGAAACAACATTTACAACAACAAAAAAATGGACAAACAAGACTCAATCAAAAACATAGTACCATACAAAATATTCATGCTACAGGAACAGGGATAAGGATAAATTTGGAATCTGGAAGGTTCCTACCTGATCCTTAAATATGGCCTCATGCTGAAGCATCATCCGCTTCACAATATCCTTATCATATGCAGAACATGCATCAGTTGTAGAACTTGGTAGATAATTATTATAGTACTGCCCATTTGTGAGTGATTTATCCCCATAAAATAGGGGCCAGCCACAACTGCTGGATTCCTCATTAAGATCTCTCATTGAGTAATATCCTGGAAGATTCTGGACTTTGGTTCCCATTCCTGATAATTGATCACAGTTACATGCAAATAAGAATTCCAGCACAAATTAACATTTAAGATGTTACAGTGCATTAACTACCACAAACCCAATCAACCAAAAGCAGCCAAATAACTGGATAACACATATCCAGACTTAATTACATAACATGGCATGACAGCACAAAATTACAGAAGATAAACATAGCATGGACAGATTAGATCTTATGCATTTCAGAGTGTAAAAATGTTGAAATTGTGAACGTTTTCTTTTTATTTCAAGCAATGTAAAGATTTTAGTTACTGATGCTAAAAACCTCTAAAAGCATGATGATAAAGAACCTACATGCACTATGTTCTGTGGAATATAATATGAACCAGTGCCTACTACTTTTAACTCTATGCATCAACTTCTATTGTAAAAGAAAATGTGTATGTGGGACATAACATTAGAAATTACATGCATTTAAGAAAGGATTTAATTAGAAACAAGAATTTCCATCTTAGCTACATAACATATATATGACAGATTCTAAATTGTTGTAGGACATAACAACACTAGTTCACACTACCATAACCAGTTAAGAATTCATGAATTTACCAATACTTGGGGTTGCAGAGGACAGAAATGCAAGAAACACTCTCCAACAAAGGATTTTATGGCGCTGAATGCAAAAATTCATGACCATTAAACTAGTGCTTTAAAGGATTTATAATTGGAATCATTATTATTGCTACGACAAATCGACAAAGTTAGGACGGTTATGGCATTGACCAATGTATACCTAGTAAATGCCATCTCCCACAACTCGCAAAAGATGCGATTGTAAACATTTTAGTCAAACATAACGCACCAACCACATCATATAAATTGGCTTTATTTACTAAAATCCGGAAAATGCTTGATAACTTCGAAAATCGGCCAAATGCTATTGGCATATTCAAATAATTTGTTGTTAATAACTTTGACCAAGAAAACCATGGGTTAACCTGGACAGATGAACAAAACCATTTCCATGCCAGTAACATATCATTTGGTGGCAGCAATAACCAAATCCGCCAAAACCACATTTGGTAGAAGTGTGAACAAGGTTTACAAATTAATTAATTACCCTACCAAAGAAAACAAAAGCTAAAAAATGCATAAAAGCAGCATAAGCACTAGTGATTCCAATAAATCTTGGCATAGTAGACGTCTTTCTATAATTTGAGTGTTATCGATGCATTCAAAACCCATTCAAACTTCACCAATTAATCTCAGTCATGAGGAATTTCCAAAACCCTTCCAAAGGGCTAATGAAAAATCTCCAGAGCAGATACAAACAAGGCACGTCATAAATTCACCCACAATTTTAGGGAATACTGTTCCCTCACTTCAATCCAGACTTCAGAGACAGAAAGATAGAAGGACCAAACAAGAGGAACGAGTGAATGACGAAATTCAATTAAACAGATCCAATCCAACAAATATCTAAACCAACACAGCAGTGCATGCTTTCAACCCGAAGAAGCATTTGAAAGACTAAAATTAAACATCAGAACACTCCATCGCCAAAATTCAAGGCAAAATTAAAAAATAACATCAATAAATAAAAATGAAAACAGTTATACTCAGGAGTTCATTGGAAAAATCCCTCACAAACAACAGAAACCAAGGAATTTCCAATTTTCAATTCACATCACACTCAAAAAAGAACCTGATAGAAAACACCAAAACCAAAATTACCAAATAAAAACAAAATATACACACATAATTACATAAATTAATAAAATATCCAGAGAGAGTAAATAAGCAAATTTACCTCAGACCCACATCCTCTAAACACCTCCTCTCAAGAATCCCACAGAGATTCCACCATTCAAGGCACCAAGTCAATCAGAGAGAGAAAAAATTTAGAGTCTTTTTAGACCCCCACTATTTGAAGCCCAAAAGGGTAACTAGAACTGAAACCAATAATAATTATAAGACAAAATAGCAAAGAGGGTGTTGTTGCAACACCATTGAAGGAGCATAGATCGTCATCAGGTTGAAGAAAAAGGAAGAGATTTCGATCTGCTGGGCCAGCCACTCCTCTCTCTCTCTCAAAAACACACACACAAGGAGATGAAAGAATGGACCTTTTTTTTTAGAGAGAGAAACATTTTTAAAGAGAGAGAGAGATCCCAGATAAGAAATCTTCACACAAACAAACGACCTTCTAAGAACAGTGACATGAAATTTGTCAACATCCGGTCTCTTTTTATTCTCTGCTTTTTCATCACTCCTCTCTACCTCTTTCTCTCTCTTCCTCTTCCTTTACCATTTATATAAAAATCATTTTTTAATTCAGTGTGATTTTCAGAATACATTTATTTATATCACAAACAAATGGGCATTTCTAGATTCTCTCCACCTTCCTTGCCTTTCGCGGAGCATATCAAATTATCGATTATCAAATAAAAGGAAACTGAAAATCTCATAATAAGTTCCCATATTGTTATTTCTAGCATATATGCATATTCTTTTTTATTCATTTAACATATATGTCTATGTATATACGTAATAGTTTTAAATTATTGTCTTTTCAGTCAAAATTTAATATCATCCTAGTTCTTAATAATTTAATGGGACTGAACTATTAATATAAAAAATTTACACTAATTTAAAACTTTTCACACTATTAAAATAATCAAAACTTATTTTTGGCCTACTGTATAAATAATTATTATAAAAATAAAAATTTTATCACGTATAACATTTGGTGATTAAACGATGGTATATTTTTTTCTTTTTTTTACATTTATCACGCCTCTGTACATGAAAATACATTTTTTTGAAAAAAAAAATCATTTTTAAAAGAATTTCAGTACTCCATTTAGTCTATAATTTTTTATGTTTAAAAATTTTACATTCTTTAAAAAAATATGTAATTATAGTATGGTAAGTTCAAAATAACTCTATTTAATATCTTTAACAATGGTAATTATGAGATAAAACTAACAATTATTAAATAGGTGTATATATAGAGAAAGTTAATTAATATTACTATCACACAAAAGGTGTTTGTGATAAAGAAAAAAATATTATTACTTAAAATTTATAAAAACATTAAAAAAAAATTAAACAAAACAGAAAGCTTAAAACATCAAAAAAATTATGAACAAGAGGGAGTACTTTGAAGATTTAGTTATTTACATTCAATTAAGGAATACCCCATTTTAGCAAAAAAAAATTATTATATTTATTTTTTTATAAATATTCACAAAGGTTAATAAAATTCTTTTTATTTTTCTTAAATAAATTATTAAGTTTGAACAAAAAAAATATAGTTAAAAAGAAAAATCTTATTAAAAATAGTCAATCAATATTTTATTTTTTTATACGATGTAAAACTTTACATTTTTGTTAAATTATTATTTTCTTTTAATAATTGCGAGTTGGTGGTGTTTTAGGCAGTGTTTTAAAACCCGGACCGACCCGGCCGGTCGGACCGGTCGGACCGGGAACCGGTGGTCCAGCCGGTCCGAATCTGAAGTTGGATTGGTTATGCAGTCGACCCGTTTCAAACCGGATTGAACCGGTCAATTTTCCGGTTCAACCGGTGAACCGGTGGGTCAAACCGGTTCAACCACTTTTTTTTCTTATTTTTTTTAAAAAAATTTTAAGGGACCATAAATCACAAAAATAATAATGAAAATTGAATCTCTTAATGAAAAAGCAAGGAGTCTTATTAAATATAACAATGACTACTTGTTCTAATATATTTGTTTGCAATATATACAACTTAAATAACTTTTATAGTATATTATTAATTTTAAATTATATATTTAATAATTCAATATCTATGTAAATATTACATATATTATTTTGTGATATTAATTGCAAGCATATTATATATGTACATATTATTTATATTTTTAATTTGTATTAATATACCGTTTAACATGTAATTTTTTTATATATTTTTTTACAAAATAAAAATAAAAATAATTTTAAATAAGATAAAAGAATTTAAATTTAAAATAAGATATGAATTTATTAAAATTTATAAGTATAAATATATTTAATATGAATATTTTTTAATAAAAATAAATAAAAATCGAGTCATGCGGTTCAACCAGTGACCCACCGGTTCAACCTTTGACCCACTGACCCAATACCTTAACCGGTTCGATGACCGGTCCGGTTTTTAAAACTATGGTTTTAGGTGTTTTATATTGAGAAGTTTTGAGAGTTAAGGAATTCTCGTGAAGTTAGGTTATTCTAAGGATTTATCTGGGTAAATATCTAGTCGGCCTTAAGGGGAAAAAAGTATATAAGATTTCTATTGAAAATTGAACCTCATAAATTTATTTTCTCAGGAACCTTAGAGAGAGTAGAGTGAGATGCTCTAGGAACAAGAGTTGACTTTTCTTTCTTCTAATTTCCATAATGGATCTTCGAATCTTTCTCCTAATGATCTTTGTTGTGTTGGTGATTCAAAGCCCTAAAGCTAAGAATTAGAGTCAGTGTAGAGCTTTGGTAGTAGCTTGGAGTTTGTTTCTTCCTTCTTTTTCTTTTTCTTCTCAGTTTGGAGATTTTCAAAGGTAAGAGAAGTTAGAAATTTGTTCTTGATGAGTTGTATGAGCTATATGTTGTTTGATTATCATCAAATGTGGATGCATTAGTTGATTTGTGGATTGTATTATGGAAGAGTTGAGTTTGGAATGTTTGAAGCATGTTGAAAATGATTTTGGTAATTCTCCCAAGTTGGTTGTTGCATGTTGTAAATTTGGTGTAGCATGGGTTGTTGATGTATAATAAGTGTGACAAATTACATTGCATGTTGGTTCCTTGAGTTTTACCAACGCGCCTTTTAGGCATCAAACTTGGCTTCAACGAGGGAGCCTTTCTCTTGCTCATGTCGGGCGTAAGATTGATGGCACTGGGTGTGAGGAGAGAAAATTGTTTCAAGTTGAAATCACATCAGGCAGGGCTTGAATGACATCAGGTGTGAGGTGAGAGAATCGTCTTGGATTTGATTGGTGTTGGGTACCAAAGGTGTGGAACCGGACGTGAGGAAAGAGAATCATCTCAGATTGGTTTGAGGTCGAGTGTGAACAAGGTAGAGAGCTCCATGCCTCGATGTTGCTGGGCATAGGTTGAATAACATTGGGCATGGGTTGACTTGTAATAATGAGTTGTTTGCATGATTAAATGATGAGTATGGATATGTAAGGTGAATCTATTGCATATTTTATATTGATTAGTAATGCATGTTCTACGTATATTGATTTGGGATAATATATATAGATGATTTTATGATTGAATTTGTGAGATGCATTAGTATGCTATAAAATTGAATAATGTTGTTAGACCTATATCCAATGACCTGAGATAATGTATATAGATGATGATTGTCGAGGTGTTGATGTTGAGAATATTATAGGTATTAAAGCATGTTAATTGACTTAGGATTAGAGGAGAGGTTTCTTTCGAAAGTTGAATATCCCATGGTGTGGCACTCTGGGAGGCTAGTTATTGAAAAATCCTCCTTGAATAAATAATAACTCTTAGAGTGGATTGTTGAGTCTCCTTTGGATCCTTAGTTAATGTTGGAGTAAGGTATGAAGTTGAGGGCTACAACCCATAACTAGTTATTAAAGAGGTGTGTGGTATCGCAAGGATAATTAGCGAGTTAATTTCATAAGTATTTTAGTTAATGCATGCAAATGTTGTGATAGATCCACACTCAAGTTATATTATACCTGATAGTAGTACTATACTTTCCTAATTTAAATGGTGACATCCAAGAAATCATGAAGTAGGGATTGACATCCCAATTTAGTCGTTGATCTAGCAGGCGTGTAAGGCATGAAAACAATCAGATGGTTTGGGGGGTCCAACCACTTAGACTACTCAGGTGTTGTAGGAGATCCCTGTGAGTGAATGTGTGACAATGCATTAGCTAAAGTGTTTGCATATGATGTGGTGTTGTTTAGTGTTGTTCATATGCTTGGTTGATGATGTTGTGGAATGACATTGATGTGGTGATATATGAATGTTCATATGCATTGAACTGCTTACTCTTGTTAGGTGTTCAATGCAAAGTTGGAGCATATGTTGTAGACCATGGTGTGATTTTGTTGTATGGCTTACAAGTTGAGGTTATTGATAGTATAAATGTATTTTTCTTCTATACTTGCTATATGGTTGTTTCTTTTGAAATCTAGTTCATCGTTACATGTTTTTCTGGTAAATAGACTGTGACGATCATGTTTTTTTTTATATAGGGTTAGCTAGAGTTAGGTGATGGCCTTGGTGAGGCAATACTTGTGGCTTGTTTTACTACTTTTGGTTGGGTTACGCTAATATAATCAGATGTATAGATGTTGTTTGACTCATAATCTAGGGTTTATCATTTCATTACTGGATTATTATACATACACTTATATATAATTATTTAGTTCAATTTGAGTGTGTATGTATGTGTATGTATATATATATATATATATATATATACATATATGTATATATGCTATAATGTATATATTCAAATAATATGACTATATTAATCCTAAGTATGTTAGTTATTTTTTGCTACTAGTTGATTATTCGTAAGTGTAATGACCATAGTAAGTCGTTACACGTTTATAGTATCAGAGTCGGTAAAGTCAATCGGGCACTTTATGAGAGTAATCTCATTAGGTTTTTGTTGTGAGTCTTTAATTTGTGACGTATTAATTGTAGTATGTTTATTAGTTATTGTACAATGTTACTAAAAATGATTTATTGATCTCAATATAGAATAGGTAGGCCACATTATGATCTAATGGCTAGATCCATGGAAATGATGGCTATAGTTATACAACAATAGGATGCATACTTCGTTCAAATTAGGCATGGCAATCTAACCCGCCCTCGTGGGTACCCGCCCAAACCCGCCCCGATTTGGATGGGAAAAACCCGTGTTTATCGGGTTCAGGTTCGGGTTTTTCCCGATTGATAAAATC